TTCATGGGGTCACGAAGAGTCGGACACGACTTAACGACTGAACAACAACAACAACAAATCTTTACTTTTGGGCAAGCCACTAATTTCTTAACATTGTTTTTGAATCTATAAAATGGGATTTGCTCAATAGAATAGTTGTAAACGCAGGCACAGTGAAAAGTGCTAGATCAATAGCAGGAATTATTTCTGAGTTCACTTCCTTTCACTTATGATGTTAATAAATTTCTTTAGCTATTTGGTTCCACAATTTTCTCAGAGAGTATCAGTTTATCCTTAAAACTAGAGGGAGTGAAAGATTAGAGAACACACTGAACTTGTTCTTGAAGTATTGTAACTTGAGCTATAAATTGACTCAACCCTTGGAAAACAAACGTAATATCAGCAAACTGTCACATGTAGGAGGCTGTGGTATCAAAGTCTGCAAAATCACTTCCTTTTAATTTTGGAACTGTGGAAAAGGAAGGAAGGAAGGAAGGAAGGAAGGAAGGAAGGAAGGAAGGAAGGAAGGAAGGAAGGAAGGAAGAGACAGCAGAGTATTTAAATGAACTATTCAAGGAAAACTCTTTGCTAAACCTTTGGCAAAAATTGGGTGAACAAAACAAAATCAATCAAGAAAAAGTTTCCTTGGAGTAGCATCTTTCTGAGTTTTTGAACTCTGCCACAGATCTTTAGAATAGCAGTAGTTTGGCATCATTCTCCCAAATTTCCCCATTTTTAATGGAAAGTTACGTTAGCAGCAGAAATTGTCCAAGAAGAACTGAAGCAGACTGAAGCAGTTAGAATGATCAAGAGCGCATATTGAAAATCCCATTGCCAAGGCTGATTTGTTTCACAAGCCAGAAAACAATTTTACAGTGGATGACGAAGGTAAGTTGCTTTACTTAAAATGTATTATGTAAAGTTGTTCAATCTTTTAAAAAACCTTTAAAATATTGCTTGTTTTTATGTATATTTATGCACATGAACCCTGTTTCTGATGAGAGATGAGAAGATTGCAAGTTCCAGTGATTGCACAATGTTCACTCTGTCTGAGAGATCACAGAAAGCTGATAGCGTTTCTGGGCTAGAGCTATCATATCTAGAGTTAGAGTTAGAAAAACTATATGGTAGCTTTGTTTTGGCCAATAAAGTATACACACAGAAACATATACACACACACTGGCTGAGCATAACATGTTTTCATTAATGTTCTCATTAAAGATGTCTACTGGAACTCTTCCTGCCATCCAGCTGACTACACAGAACAAAATGTATTTGCTCCTTTTCAAATTCTGTTCAAGCATAGACTAAACTGTGATGATTTATTTATTTGTTTATTTATTTATTTATTCAATTTATATAGCTGCCCATCTCAGACCAGTGACTCATGATGCCAAATGATGATGTGTGCAATGACATCATCATATAAATCATACAAATATACCATAAGGTGAAACATTTGCAAGATGACATCACTGTGTATACTTCCCCTGTCCCACGGACACTCATGTTTGCATGGTGGCAAGTAAGAGATGAGCCATCTTGACCCATCACTTACATCTTTATTCCAGTTCCCACTAAAGGCATTGCCAGTATGTGACTGGCGCTCAACTGCATTTCTTATGCCTTAAGAGGTATGTTTTAGGGTTAGGGTAGAGAGGTCACAAAAATAAATCAAGAGTCAAGAATTCCAGTGGGTTCCTGTGGGGATATTTTGCTCAAGCCCAAAGCTCATGACAGTACTCAAGAGTTTTAGCTGTGGTGGTAACTTAAGGACTCATGTTTTAAACAGACATGATATAGCCTGTGTGTCACCACTCAATTCTTCAAAAGCTGGCTCTATTTTTGGAACCAACCAAAATAGTCACAGAAAATGATGAAGATGGCATTTTTCAGACATCCCCATTTAATTTGCCAAACCAGTAATAAAAGCAGAAAAGAAAATGGAGCTAAACTGAGTACTTCCGGTGCAGAGATTCAAAGTATGCCTCCAAACTATTCCTATAGTAGATACTTTGATACTGTTAAAGTCCGGGCAATTCTGCTCTTCTACCACCATGAAATTCAAAGGTAGCATAGAAGGAATTTTCATGGGGTTTCCAATCCAGGCCCAAATTTACATTACTTCAGCAAAGGGATTGTATCATCCACCAGAAGTATACGCTTCCAGAAATAGTGTTTTGAAGGTAAAGAGAAATATAATTTGAAAGGATGCTCACAGTAAATTCTTTACCCATCAGTCTATTCCAGCATTTGAATGCATGTTCCTCACACACCAGATGAATTGTCTCATATATGCATGTTTGTACAATCAACTTTAGCCTCATTAAAAAACAACAACAACAACACATTGCTGACACAAACTTTTATGAGTGTAGGTAACGATATAGACACTGGCCAATGATGTCCTTCACTCCCAGCTTTTACTGGAACCCTACAATAGAAGCATATGAGAGTTTGTCCTGTAAGAACAGAAGATATATTTTATGAAATGAGATGTACTGTATATCTCTATAACTTTCATCTAAAAAAATGTTTGTGTTAATTCTGAAAATAATTCTCTAGTGATTGCTATTGGGCTAAGCTTTTTGGTTCCTCTACTCTGAAGATTAGTTGACTGAAAGGACATTTACACCAATAAAAATAAACATATCTAATTGTTCCAGCTCAAATGAACTCGGTTATAACTCAGATATATTGCTATGCTTGGATGTAAGAACTACACATTCAAATTGCCATGCCACTATGAGGTTCACACATATAGCCTTTAGTCATACTATCACTCAACTGAACTGTGCAGTTGAAATTAAGTCCTACTGAATATGTTAGAAAATCTTTCTTAGTGCACCAAAAAAGCATTTAGTTCAGTATTAGTAGATTGAGAAGAACAACTTAAAATGGATGGCAATTTTATCAAAAACCATTTAGATCTCAAATGATATATTTGCAAATTGCATTTTAGAAAAGAGCATGATATTCAAAGAAATCAAACTAATGACCGATGGCCATGATGTACTAATGAGTATAGCTATCTGGTCCGTGTTATGCTGATGTGGTGCCATCTCTTCCTTATCTAGGAGAGCTATGGACCATTCACAAGAAATAGCCAGAGGTCAAACGAAGATGAGAACAAAGCAGATCACAACAGATTCCCTCTTTATCAGTCAACTATTAACCAACACCCAAATAAGCAAGAGATAGCATCGCATCAGCAAACAAGGACCAGATAATAACACCCAATAGCTTAGTCAACAGTAAGACAAGCAACTGTATATTCCACTGTATATTCCAATATTCCAAGATCATAGCACGGAGTCCTGGATAATGAAACATCTGCAAATAAAAAACAAGCTCAGAGAACTCCCACAACCCAACATTTAAGCTTCTGTTTCAAGGAGAAAAATGTGGGTTTTGTAATTATTCACATATGGCATGCACAAGTAACCTGACCAAATAGGTCTTTGAAAACACATCTTTCCAAAGGCACAAAAAAGAGCCGCAACAGGTTAAGGCAGAATTGTGTCAACATTTACACTCAACAAATGTATCTGAGTATTTGTATGTTAACTAAGGTAACTAATGTTATCCCTTTATGTCAGTCTTGATTCCTGGTGACCGCCTGGATGAGTTCCTGCAGTTTCCTTGGCAACATTTTCAGAAGTGGTTTCTCATTGCCTGCTTCTTCCTAGGGTCACAGAGAGAGAGTGACTGGCTCAGAGTCATCCACCTGGCTTCATCCACCTGAAAGGCAGGACTAGAGCTCATGGTCTCCCAGCTCCTGGCCCGATGCCTTTAATATTCATACTTGGCGAAGTCAGGTCATCTTCACCAACTACATTCAACAAGAATATCTTTGTATTTCCAAAACTAAGTCAATTTGAGGCCTCACAAAGAGGGTCAGTTGGTTCATACTGCCTGGCTTGGCTTTGTTGGTAGGTGCTCAAATGGTTCATTCCCAGTTTTTTTATTGACCAGATAACTTGCTATCTTCTTCTCAAGCAGATACAATGTCCTGTCATAGGAGAGTTCAGCAGTTCTGGAAAAAAATGGGCAGATGGTCCTCTGACAAGAATTTGGACTTAAACAATTGTGCATTGAATGCTGTGGACATAATGGAGCTGAGTGAGTATACTTTCTGTGATATTAAAGTTCAGTGTCCTTCTTCCCTTATACACACACATCAATGATAGTTTTCTAATTTTTCTTATCTGCAGCCCTTCAAGAATCAACTATGTAAATAAATATTTGCATTTGTAAAACTTGGGACACCCACCCATACTTCATCTCATTCTGCTGTTCTTATTGTGGAATCTTCCTTTTCTTTAACCTTCCAGCCAATTCCCCTTCTTATTTCAAGCCCTTTCCTAAAAACCATTTTTTAAAAATATAATTTAGAGCAGTGTTTCTCAACCTCAGCAACTTTAAGATCTGCGGACTTCAACTCCCAGAATTCCCCAGCCAGCAGGCTGTATCTCCTGCATTGTATGGACTTTTGTTCTGTATTTTTCATTCCCTCCCTTCCACCAACCGGGAATCCATTTAATGAATTTCATTCACATAAATTTATTCCACAAAATATCTGTTCGTGTTCAAGGTGTCTCAAGACAATATTTGTTTTGCTGCAACAGATTTGTTATGGAATTACTATTAATTCAACCGCTGCATTTCTACAGAACAATAAACAGTAATTTACCATTATGGGAATGAATTTGTGTGAGCCTATTCACTCTTCTCCCTCTCTGCTTCTTTTTTAATGTTGTTCAGAGGAGTAAATCAGAAGCAAGATGATCTATTTATTATGTATTATGACTGTTGAATAATAAGTAATTTGTGACTATTATTTACTTTTAAATAATTTATTAGAATAAATCTTTAATCTACCATTTACAAAGCAGGCTTGTTTGAGCAAGCTATAGTTAAGGCTATTAACCATTTGTAACACTAAATAGCTGTTAAATAGAAATGCACTGTAAAGCTTTCCATCTCCTTGTGGCTATATGAGAGGAGAAACAGGCAAGAAAGCATATATGGCCAAGGCTTCAACAGACTTGTTTTCTTAGTGCTACATCATGGCTTAACATTGTGTGAAAGTATAGCCAAGGGCTGTTCACACAACTTGCATCACCCTGGTTAATTGTGACACAGCTCTCTCAACCCAATTTTATGGATCTGCATTACAAGCTTAATCATAAATTAACTACATGATCTGAGTTTGCAGAATACACAAAGATGTGGTTGGTTGAGTTTAGTGTGAACACAGCCATTATTTCACAGCCATGCTTTTATCTTTGTGACTCCATTTCTACTGCCATCTGCCAAGTATATACAGTACAAGAGACATAGATTGCACTGATGCAGCTTAGTGTTAGCCTTGAAATAATACAACTCAGATGTAGGAGTTGAGTTTAATAGAAAACAATAACATGCATTCATGTTCTAGCTTCGCCGTGTCACCAATCTTTCGCTGTTGCTTGGCTTTTCTTTTAGCTACTGTGATATCACTGCTGCCAGACTTGGAGGAGATTGATCTTTCCTGGAATGATTCCATAGGAGGAGCCCTAGAACCTCTGGCCCTTCAGTTTAAACATCTGCAAGAGCTGAAAGTCCTCCAGCTGAACAGCTGCAGACTCACAACCAAGGATGTTGCATGTTTAGGTACTATCTGGTAGTAGTAGAACTTCATCAAAAAGTCATCCCAATTGACTATGTTATTAAAGAGACTGATGGATTCTACCAAAGACATATCTCTAAGCCAAAATTGGGAAATTTAGTCCTGCTGATTCCTTGAATTGTCTCTAGCATATACCTGGCCCCTTCCTGGTGCTAAAGCAGGAGAAGAACCTGAATCTGAAGACTAAATTCAGCTCCTCCTGTATCTCCATGAGCCAAACACTAATGGGATGGTCAGGCCCTGGAGGGAAGGGCAAGGCTTGCCTTCTAGGCAGAAGCTCCATCATCTGTTTTCTCCAGATAGGATCCGGTTTTCTGGCATGGTAGAAAGTGACCATTAAAAGCTGCAACAGTGATTACCGATGGCAGAGAAATTTACTTTGTTCATATTTGATTGCAAATTTATCTAATTTTGCATTTTTGAGCCAATACACAAAAAAAAGAAACTCAATTATTCTTCAAAATTAAGATTGTCTCAATATTGAAATGCATTTTCCCATTATATCATCAATATAGTATTCTACATTTTACAGTGAAACCTATGTAAAAAAAAAAAATTGAAGACAAAAATGCATATATTCTTGAACATAATGCACAGAAATGCATATATTCAGGAAAATAGGATTCAAAATTGCATTTTATTAGGTGAAACAGTTTGCAATGTGCATATTTGAAGAAATATGCAAAAAATACATATTAGTATAAATTAGTTCAAATAAATTCTCAAGCTACTACGGAAATAAAGAACGACAAAACGATTGAGGGAAATTGAAATCTACAAATTTACTCATCCCTAGCAGTGACTGAAATCTTGAATAGTTTTGCACATGTGGGATACTTTTCACATATTCAAATCAATATCTGAAATGGTACAATTAGTTCCAACTGCTTTTTTTGCAGGAGAAGCCCTTGAAGGAATTCCTCACCTTGAAATACTGGATTTATCATGGAATACTGGCATTGGTGGAACCCTTTCTCTTCTAACCTCCAAAATCCTCAAAGGCTCTAAGCTCCAAACATTAAAAGTAACAGATTGTGGTCTTACTCCTGAAGATGGAAAATCAGTAGGTAAGATACCACGGCAAAGTGAAGTTAACATCTTTGACGTGTTTACTGTATTGTTTAGCTTAGTTATCAGACTAAATGTCTGACTGAATGGACTCATGACTTTTCAGCCGTTCTAGGTAGTCCAGACAGGAAGCCACAACCATGAGTACTAATAGTACCTTTATTGTAGGGTTACAGTAACAAAATCCTGCAAGTCTGGAAGCACTTTCCCTCTCCCCTGCCTTTACTTTCCAGAGAACTAGGGAGGGTTCCTTCTGAGACGCTTTCTTCACCTCCATTCCTCCTTTGGACTCAGATTTCTCTTATCAGACCATTGTCTAGGCTGTGGCTCTTCCTCCTGTCTCCCAGGGTTGTTTCCACAGCCTATTACAGTTTCCGTGTATGGAGAATATCATCCCTGCTTCTCTGGCATGCAGCCAGAGTTAGGCAAGGATGGGAAGACAAGGACTAGACCAGTCTTAGGCCCATTTTATCCTGGAGTCAGAAGAGTTGGGAGATGCCAAGGCTGGTCATGTCTATTGGAACATTATTGTGGATAACTTCCAGGTTAGTTTGCAAACAGGACACATCCAGCACATTCCACTATATCTCTATATCCAAATCAGAACCTGCACACACAGCACTTAGTTCATCTAGCAAAAATATAGTTTAATATTTATTTATTAAACTTCAGCAAACTTTAAAAAAACCAGTTAACAGGCAAAAGTAAAACAAAAGCAGGCAAGATCAGGGAGAGAAACATGAACAACAGACAATGATTTACTATATCTGTGTCTGTATTTATACAGCACAGAACTTTTCAAAGCCTCTGGAAATAACATGTCCTAAAAGGAGTGGCCATTGGTTATTCCAACCTTAACCCCTTTTTGTACATAACAGCAGTAGAATAGAGGTGGAAAGTAGGATACCAGGGTATCCTTTATTTTACACCATGAAAGAAACAATATGGTGGATGGGGATGATATATCCAATGACATGAAAGTGTCTGTTCCCTAGACTACCTATCAAAGATGTTAGGTCGGCACATTTGAAGATCTAGCCACTCAATTGGTGTTATCTCAAGGACTTCCAGCTGTTGGGTTATGTAATTTAATTTCTATATTTTAATTTGATCTGTATTATTCATAAGCCACTCAGAATTGTTGGGATTGAAGCAGCATATAAGCCAAGCAGAGCAAATTGTTTCTGATTCTTTTCCTATGGGATTTAGATGACATCACTAAGTCTGTTCAAAGGCTTAAACCATTTTATTTCCTTCATTTGTTGGTATAAATGGGTGGGAAATTGTGTTACTGATATTTGGTGATTTGTTGCTGAATTTTGAGGATGTATTCCTGGGCAGATCTGGAGATTGGAGGTTGGACACTGTACAACCTAAAGATTGTCTAGGTGTTGGTTGCAAATGATCTAGAGAGCAAACTTTTTCCAATCTTGTATTTCCAGCTGTTCTAGACACTTGGAACCCTATACAAGGATCTTCAGAAACTTGATTTTAAAATGTCTGTATTATATTCTTTTATGTTTTGGGTGATTTCCTAAGCATTGAACTATTATTTTTTTAATTCTTTGCAACTCTCTGCCATTCTGCCCTCCACTGTTTTTAACTACTCTGGATCTGTCTTGTTTTCAGCTCAGCTTCTAAGTAGGATCTACTGCCTCAAAATTCTGGACTTGTCAATCAACAGAAAGTTGGGATATAGCCTCAAAAATATTGCTCAGGAATTACAGTTTGTCTCAGGCTTGCAAGTATTAAATCTGAACACATGTGGATTAGAACAAGATGGCTTCCAGTCCTTAGGTAAATACAGGTGTTGATTGGGAGCTGAGATTTTTTTTCATGAGAAAATTTGTATCCAATCTTGTTTTGGGTGGGGGATTGAAAACTACAGGTTGGGGGAGGTGATGAAGATAGGTATGGTCAAAGCACAAAAAGCCCAGGCTCGAAATAAAAATAATGTTTTGTCTTAAACCACATATTCTCACTCCATTTGAAGAATATAACATTGCTCCATTAACATTATTATTAAAGCTAAATTGTTCATAAATTGAATTTAATTTTGCATTTTAGACATTTTCAAATTTCACTTTTAATATTTTTTTAAATGATGCAGTCTATCTAAGATACTGAACTTAAGCATCACCTTGCTAAATTCAGCATTTTTAAACCAGGTCGCTTGAAATAATTTAAACTTTGTTAACACCCAGAATAAGGAATCTGAAATAAATGCAAATGATAAACATAGAAAATTAACGTAGACATTTTTGTTTAAGAATATTTTTAAATGTACTTAACCTCCACTAGTCGGTTAGAACTTTTATAGAAAAAATATTGAAATTAAAATCTGATAACTTAAGGAATTCATCAATTCAATCTTAATTCTGAGCTAATCAAAATATTCTAGATTTTGTTTCAGCCAGCATTTCTGACAAAAGAAAATAATGTGAGAAGATACTGAACAGGACTAACAATGATTTGTCAGTTAAATAGCTTTGTAAATTTACCATTATTATATTGTGTTAATCTTTTTGTAATATTGTGTACATCCTTGAATCCCACCCATATGGATGCAATATGGTTTATCTATTGCACAAATAAATACCTTGTTGGCATATAATGGTTAGAAATTATATAATTAGTAGAAATTTACCTATTTCAGATACTGCTTTCCAATATCTATCGGAATTGAGAACGTTAGATGTATCATGCAATAAACTGATTGGAGGAGTTTTCCAGTGTTTGGCTGGTCATTTGGCCAGTTTAAGTAACCTTGAAATCCTGAATCTTCACCAGTGCTGTATTACAGAAGAGGACATGGTGGTTTTATGTAAGAAATACATGGAAATGCCTTACAATGAATTGTAAAATAATTTAGCTGGGAGAAGCAGTGCTTGTTTGCCCATCCAGAAACTGAATCATTAATTCCCCCAAGCTTTTTACAAGTCAACTCAAGCAATTTATATCTCAGTTTACAAGAAGCAGAGAGCAGTGCCATTATTGAAAATTACAGCAGAGAAATAGATTTGTCTGCTCAGCTAAGTGAGATAAATATCCCAGCCTAGTAGATTAAATCATCTTTAATCTGTTGTCAAAAATATTTTAACACAATAAGATCATTACTTCATTACAAGACACTCTTCTTCAAGTGAGTGCCTTCTTGAAGTATTGGCTTTGGTGGCCAAACTGCATTATCTCCTAAAATTGAGAAGATTGATATGATTCCATTTTTTACCACTTTTTATGCTTTTTCTATTATTCCATTTTCAAATAATGTATAAATGTTGTATTTAGGCAGTTGAGGGAAGCAAAGAATGGAAGGCCAAGACCCATAGGAAGTTGCTTTTTTATTAATGGATTCAAAATCAATCCGTTTTGATTTTATTGTCTCTGTGTTATCTATTTTTTTTTTCAGCCCAGATAATACCTCTTTTGTCAAATCTTCAGGAGCTTAATTTATCCTCAAATACAAGTGTAGGGATATCTACCTATCACCTTCTTAGCAGACTCCGATTTTTACCAAAACTGACATCTGTGCTCCTCAACAATTGTGCCTTGCAACATGATTCATTCGTGTTTCTAGGTAAGAATGTGCTAAAATTCTGTCTTTGACTATTCCTGTTTCTTCTTTTTTTTTATAGTAATTTTATTAAGAATTATAATTACAACAATATAAACTAAAACAAACTGAAAAAAATAAAATTATAAAAAAAGCAGAAGGTGCAGAAAAGAAAGAAAAAATAGAAATAGAAAAGAAAGAATTAAAATATAGTAAAGAAAAAGAAAAGAAGTATATAAAGAAGTGACTTCCCACCTTCACCACAAGTATAAACAATTTTAGTAACTTATCACCTTCTGTTACAATAAAACAAATGATCTCTTCTTCCATGTCCCATTTCTTATCTATAAACAAATCCATAAAACCTCATCATTTCAGTCTTGATGTCAGCACAAGTTCATTAAGGGTTACCAGATATTACAACATATCTATTTTAACCTTGATCAAATAAACCAACTTTATATTCCTTCCTTTTACTTCTAACAATCTTGATTTTTAGTCCATTCAAATAATGTCCTAGAACTTGATTTGTTTTAATTTTTTCTTTATCCCTTCTCACAAAATCCTTCAAAATTTTAACAGGCTGTTTTGTAAATCCAGTATAGGAAAATTATCCAGGTCACTCTCTTGGTTTGTTGTATACCCTTTTTAATTATTATGATATCAGCCCATTTTTTTTGTATGTAGCATCTTTTTCCATGTCACTCTTGTAGCCTGTCATTTTTAAATCTACTTTCAACTCAGTCTCAGTCTTGTCAGGTAGAACTCGTTCCTCTTCCATAACATCTTTTAGACACAGTCTATCTATAGAGGCAAATACTTTTAAAATTTACTTCTGGGTCCATTGTTCAAAAATATCCTTCAGTATGTCCAAAGTTAAAATATTTTGCTTCATTCTGTAATTGGAAGTTGAGTTTGAGTGCTCTTCTCCTTTAATTATAATCTAGATCTCTCTAGTGTCCAATTATTATTATTATTATTACTACTACTACTACTACTACAATTTAAAACAAAAGCATTTTCCCACAGGAAGGATACTTTATAATTAATTCCAAAATCGTATTACAAATTTATCTGGACCCTTAGTTTACTTGTAACTTTCTTAAATCAAAGTTTTAGTCACTCTTTTGCTTTTTCTTCCCCCCCCCCATTTTTTAAAAGTTCTTAAACTTGTAGCTAAAACTTCTTTTGCTAAGGATTGAAAGAAACTCACCCAGTGCTGTAAAATGTGCTGATCCAAAGTTTCCTAATAGCTGAAAAGCAGTTAACAAGCAATTTCTGAAAATGATTAGAAAGGAAAGTATGTGAACCCAATGTTCTTTCAAAGGTGCCAGCCATGATTTGAGCAAGATGGCTATTCCCTCATCTCCCAGAGCTCTAAACTTGCTGGAAACCGCTATCTTGTAGTCTCCTCATGAGGAACAACTGTCTGGAGCACTTGTGGGCAATCTCAAGTCCTCTCCTTGTCCTGAGAGTAATTATCAAAGAGCTGGTCTACTCACTGGCTCTTCATTCCACCATGATCATTGGCTCCACTTTTCATGGAGCTCTCTTCAGTCTGCCATTTCTTCAGAAAAGTCATATTTCTCTTTTCTTCTATCTGCCCATTTGTCCAGTCTGAACTGGTACCCTAGTGAGGATCATCTGAATTGCCCAATGATTGTTCCATGATTGCCTACAATTTGTTTTGTTAAAATGTACTCAGGGCTTAATTTCTTTCTTTCTTTCTTTCTCTTTCTTTCTTTCTTTCTTTCTTTCTTTCTTTCTTTCTTTCTTTCTTTCTTTCTTTCTTTCTTTCTTTCTTTTTTTACTGTACATTGCAGTAGCTTTTTAAAAAAACCACCTGTTTAGCTCTATAAAACAATATGATCTTTTTATGTAATTACAGAACATTTCTAAATAAAAGTATGCTGCCTTGTGAAAAGATGCTCTAGACTTTTCCCTCCCTTTTGGTTCCATATAATATTCTCTTAACAAAGTAGGCTGCATTCATGGTTTTCTTATTTGAAAGCCTCCCAGATCTACATTCTGCCAAAAATAAATCCATATGACCTTAACCACAATGATTCTTTTTTATTTGAGCAGATTTGAAATAAAAGTAAAGTAAGGAAATAAAAATAGATTTATGCACAATTGTAAGGTGGATCTATGATGTAATTAACTCATGTGCACAAAACTTTCTGGCTTATCCGAGGTGTTTCTTAAAGCAACTATCATGTGTAGGCCACTGGAAATGGCATCCTTGTGAACTGTGATGCACAAACTGGGACATTTTTCTCTCTAGCAAAGCATTCTTCTTGTATGCTTGCTGTGACCCAAAGAAAAATCTCATGGATCATGAACTTATTTATTTATTTATTGGATTTCTCCCCCCACCCATCTCCCCCGCAATAGGGTACTCTGGGTGGCTTACAGAAAACATTAAAACTATAAATATATCTAAAACACATAATACATCCAAAATTTAAAATTTACTTGGAGGAAGCAGCTCTGCAATCTCTGTCTCTTTGCTGCAAGATTGTCTATTTCTTTTTTAACCATTCGATTATTGTGCTACGGTCAGGCTAAAATATCTTGCTCACTCCTATTGATGAAAGCCATCCTGGCAAGAATCCTGCAGATTCCTTTCCCTAACAGTCTCATGCTACTGAGAATTAAGTCTTCTCCACTTTCCTTAACCCAATACAGGGGTTTGTTTCCTGGTAGCAATGAAGGTTAACAGAATGTTCAGGAGGAACAAAATGTTGGGAAATCACTTTGATATATTTAGAAGAGATCTAATTTGTATGCATAGGGCTACCTTTCTTTCAGGATGTACAAAGGGTTGTTGCTAATCTTTTCAGCTGAGGCTGCCTCTCATCTTCCTGAACTGAAGATACTAGACCTTTCTTCAAATAAATGTGTTGGTGGGAACTTAAAGCTGATTCTGAAAGCATTACACCTTGATTCCAAGATCCAAGAGTTAAGACTGAGCAGCTGCAGCTTGGTGGATGAAGATCTGGTTGATTTGGGTAGGTACAGAATTGTATCCCCACCCCTTCATACCTGTTCTTCTAAAATTTCATTTCACTGTTGATTTGCTCATTGGGTATAATGTATCTCCTAGATACAGTACATTGGAAAATTGGCCAGGAGTACACTGTCAAATGGCTCCATTTTTACTGTGGACTAACCCATAGCAACAATCTTTCCCAACCTAGTGTCTTCTAAGCTGGTTACCAGAATTCCCAGTAGCCTGGCTAAAGAGTCAAATTAAAATAAATGGATAAAATTAGAATAAGCAACATCAAAATCTCTCTGTGGTTTTCCAGATTTATTTTAGGAAGGTGAGGATTACTGAAAAGACTAGCAAAAGTTTTTCAGTTAAAAGAGAAGTTATGGTGCACGGATTTGGCATCAGAGATTGATGTTCTGAGCCAATTGTCAATAGCTTTAGTCATCAGGGGGACCTAATACCAACTAAAAATGCCACCCACTGACAGCAAGAAAGTGGGTCATTCTTCTTGGTGGGAAAAAAACCCCTTCAAAAATATTGTCAGCAATTGCAGTCTTCATAGGCAAGTTGAATGTGTTCATTTGACTTTCATTTGATTGGGGGCAATGGAAAACTTCATAGACCTAGCCTCGTTAAGTTTAGCTTCTATGTCCAAAAGCTTTGAAGTACAGAGGAGTTCTATGACAATGCTTAGGGGTTCTTCAGCAGTGACACCAAGGATTGGAAAAAGTTCCCTGACAACAGAAAGTTAGAAGATATTGATCTTTATTTATTTGTTTCATTCTTATAAACAGGGAGCTCATACATGGTTCTCCCTACTCAATTTTATTCTCACAATAATGCTGTGAAATAGATTAGCTTAATAAATAGTCATGTGCAAAATCATCTCAGGAGGTTTATGGTTGAATAGGGATTTAACCTAGATCTCTCCAGTCCAACACCCTAACCCTAACCACTACGCTAATGCAGTAAGACTCTGCCTGCTCTTGTTTACTTTCTCAAAAGAACAATGATTTAACAAAATGCATATGCTCTCAATTAAAAGAGCACAGCAATGACAAGTCCAAAGGAATTAAACCAGGAATTCTCAAATGTTTTAGACTGGTAGGCACATGTGGAAGGTTGAAAGCAGATCACTGATAAACTCACAAAATGAGGCAGCATGTTCCACAGTAAGCATGTCCAGTTATAAAATGCTGACTGACCAGAAACTAAGTTGGAAATGCTGCTCCCCACCTCCACCTCTTACTGTAATGGGATGTAAGAATAACCTTGAGGAACAGGAGGAAGAGCCACAGCCAAGAAAACGGTCATATAAGAGAAATCTGAGTGCAAAGCAGGAATGTAATTTGAGAAAATGTCTCAGACTTGACCCTCCCTAGTTCTCTTTAGGATAAAGACCGGGCAGGGGGAGGCACATTCAGATTTGCAAGATTCTGTTACAGTAACCCTACAATAAAAGTGGTATTAGCATTCATAACTTTGGTTTCCTAGTCCGGTCTACCTTGAAGGGCTGACATCAATCTTTCAAGTCTGAATGCGATTCCCCCCTCCCTGCCTTCATCCTAAAAAGAACTAGGAAGGGTGAAGTCTTCTCTGCTTTGGACTCAAATTTCTTTTATCTGACTGTTGTCTTGGTTGCAGCTCTTCCTCCTGTTCCTCAAGGTTATTCTCGTAGCTCATTACAGACACTGAGCCTAAACTATGCACAGTTTACTATTGCTATGGCTATCATAATGTAGATTCAGGAGTATTACATAATTGGGCCAGCTTAGGAGAACTGTTTCTTTAATTGTTGCACAAATAATTAAAGCAAAAAAGTCATATTTTTCCTGCTCTTCCTGGAAAAGCTGGATGATCCAGGCAGAGCAGGACCAAAAGCCTGGACTGCATCTGGCAGGAATCAGATTTTGCGTGCATATACAAGAGCAGAATTGTGCTCTGGGCTTTATTAGATAACCAGCTTATCTAGGCAGAGTAGGAAAATTGTGAATTTATAGCTTAATTCTAATTGTATTGAAGATATTGGGACTCAAGCACCTAAGAATATCACTTTTATTCATTCCTTTTTAATAAACTTGATGTTATGACTGTGGTCTATGGATGAAATTTTCTCCCAAAGTGTTATAGGTACATATACTTAGTTAGATCTACCAGCTCTGAGCACAACATTATATTACATCAACCTAGTTCTGAGTAGAGATGTAGCCAGTGAGTTTAGGCTGCAGGTGATAGCTCTGATTATAAAGCTTTTAGAATTGTTTCAGAATGTTCTGTATCAGGAGTCGTAAAAAAAAAAAAAGGGTGAGGGGAGAGTTAAATAGGAAAAATATTATCTATTAAGTATTTATGTTCACCATCCATACTCAAGAGGGATTCAATCTACTTCTTCCCACATCTTCAGTTCTTTGAGTAAAGCAATCAGGACCAAATTTTCTAACCTTTTATTATCAAGAAATGCCATTTAGATCAAAGGGAATTTTTATATGGAAGGTATTTTCTGAGACTTCTGCATTTATAAGCCTTTGATATTTTTCATTTTGAAGGACTAACATGATGAACTGTTTTAGAACCCTGCCATTGCCTAATTTAGATAAAACTCATGTCAATTAGAAACAAGTTGAGCCTCCAATCTCTCTGCTTTCCATTATGAAATTCCTTTCTCCAAAGCACAATCCCCATTCCTTCTTGATGCAAAACATTCACGGCCTGAGAGCACACCTTGTACATTTTTAAACCCATTACCTACATCTCTTCTGGTTGCTTCTTTCAGCTTTGATCATCCAGGCTGGGCACCTGGCTCAGCTAAAGCACCTGGACTTCAGCTACAATAACAGTATCTCAGACCAAGGATGGGAGACCTTCTGTGGAAGCACACCTGCTCTTGGGCAACTTTCTGAATTAGATATTAGCCGTCGGCCTTCGTCACGCTGCAGCTGTGGGGAATGGCTTGGGAAGCTGTTGAGTGCCCTGTCACAGCTGCTTCTGTTCACAGACCTGGAACTAAATGGTTGGCTTTTTTCTGTAGCTCAGCAAAAGCTACTTGAAGATTTCAGAGGGAATAAGAAACGAAATGTCCGTTTCAACCTTTGATATGGAACCTAAAATTTTGGACTAGCATACTAATGGTTAGCTGGTGGCTTGATACCTGGTTTCTCCAAATTTGCCTAACATGCTACAGCAAAAGGTTGGCGAGGGGAAGGGGAGAACTACATCTAATATCTAGTCCCCCCTTATTGATCGGTGGATATCCAATTCAACCTCTCTTTTGGCCTTTCATCCCGACAGCATAAAATGTTCTGTGAGCAGTAAAAAATATTTACTTTAGAGATAAGATAAAAAGGGATTTAAAAAAAAAAATACTCAATTGTTTGTGTTTATTCCTCTTGTTCTTTTCCTTTCAGGCTTTCCAAAGGCCCTGTGCAGTCTCAAGAAATGGAATAACTATTACTTTTTGCCCTTGCCCTTGGCTTTTTCTTTCTCCTTGCCCTTCTTCTCTTTTTTATCTTTCTTGACCTTCTTTATCATTTTCAGGATCTCTGCAAAGGCTCCAAGCCCTCTGCGCACCATTAGGCCACGCCACCAAGCTTGGACCTGTGGGAGTGGGGGGGGGGGAAACCAAATGTAGTTAACAGCTGTTGTTTTCCCCTTGCAGATGCTGTAGGAGCAATATATTCTGAGCTCCTTCTTCCTACTAAAAGTTCATTGTTTGAGACATAAAATTATTACAGAAAATGCAACTCTTCCATTTTTTCCACATCACTCCTGTTCAGTATCCCTCCCCTGTATTTATAGTCATGTTTCCTTTATTAAACATTTTATGACACAAAAGTTCTTTTAAACATGTACAGTATGCCTTTCTTTCACCAGTGAACTACCACCCCTATTCCCACACTAAGTCAGATTATACCTTTTACGTTAATCATACTTTTGAGGGATGTTGTGTTGGTTTAATCATACTTTTCAACAGGCATATATGCTTCCTGGATTCTTGCTTTAAAGCTATTGAAGGTATCATTTATTACCAAACACCTTAAAAGTGTCATTTCTTACAAATAGCAAGAAATGACAGCCATAAAGTTTTTCCAGTAGAAAATTGCCAACCCCAAGCCCTAGAGTGTATCAGAGGGTTCCATGGCTGCTTTTTTTGTACAGATAAAGACAGCGCATGATGTCAGCCTTGCAAGATAGCCCAGACAAGAAGCCCCTCCAGAAGTACTAGCTCTGTCTTTATTGTTAGGTTACATGAACAGAATCTTGCAAGTCTGAAAGGCCATCTCTCCCTCCTTGCCTTTACGGTCCAAGAAACTACAGAGGGTCCCTTCTGAGATGTTTGCCATGCCCCCATTCCTTCTGTGGGCTAAGCTGCCTCTTATCTGACCGTTGCCTACTCTGCAGCTCTTCCTCCTATCTCCCAAGGTCATCTCCACATGCCATTACGTATAATTATTTAAACATAATCATGCTTTTAAATTATTATGAATGTAAGATGTAGTTTGATCATAAGAACTAAGGATCATAGCATTTTTTCCAGGAAA